AATAGAGACTGGAATCAATTCAAGAAAATCAGACAACGAATTTCGGGAAATTTAACGAAATTCAGAAACGGGAATAGGCTCCATAAATATAATCCTTTACATTTCGCCACATTTCTTTAAAGCAGAAAAATAAAGTTAGATTTTACACTTCTTCTAAGATTAAGCTAACTCCGCCACGATTTTGGACTTTAAGAAATTTTTAAAAATATATGAATTTTTTCATTTCAAAATCAATTACGATTGGTGTTAATAAGTGGCTAAAATTGGATCTATGTTGTAATTTACATCTAAAAACAACATAAACCAACATTTTAGTTAAAATTAATCCATCTTCGATAAAAATAAATTCAAGTTCGTAAAATACTTTAAAATATTAAGTAAATTTGGAATAAACTCAATCGGACTGGAAATGTTATTTGCTAGATAATAATAAACTTCGATCCAATTCTTTTCTTATCTTACAACACATATCATCATACGCTAGGTGGTCTCGAAATTAAGTATTCTTAGAATTCCCCTTTTTTTTTGGGGAACTTTCCTCCAATTCGAAAACTAGCCAATACATACATTCAAACAAATCTTAGTTTCGTAATCTTCAAAACATAATATATTATTTTATAGTTGTATTTTAAAATGTTGATTAAATAAAATTCAACTAATCCTAGCCCGAAACCTAAAGAAATTTAAATTTGCTATCTCCTCTGACAAGAATATTATTATGAGACAAAAACTCACAGCCCTACAGAACACAGATATCAGAAAGAATAATTTATAGCAGTGCGGAAGATATTCAAAATCAACTATTTACTGTTTAATCTATGGACAGTTATTCAATAAAAAAAGTTTAGAAACAAATCAAAGCAACATGTAGATCAGTTGTTACTCTTTTTTTCGACAGTGTAACTGACTTATTTGTTTGTATGGAGATGTATATGTATAAGTACGCATGCGTTACCGTCTCCCCATAATGTGTACAATTTATTAGCATTACAAATCTTTGGGGCGATGTTAATCGCGTACAAGTCGAGCGCAAGCCGCTAGTCGCTTTTATTGTTGCCGTTGTTTCAACTTGTTGTTTGCGTTGTGGTTGTTGTTGTTGTTGCTGATGCTGTTGCTGTAACTGGTGCTGCTGCCGGTGCTGCAGTTTCTGTTATACATGGTCATAGGCTAGGCTACTTGTAAACCCTTTGGGGCAAAAGCGACGACCACACGACCAGAAAGCGTTGATGGCGGCGGCTTGCCTTGGCGCAGAAAACAGAAGACGAAAAAAAAAATCAGCGTTGAAAATTTCAGCTATTTTTCACCAATTAAAAACGGATTCTCCGCAATTCTCCATGCTGCAGATCGGGGCGCTCCCAGCTGAACCTACACACAGATACATACATACATACATATATGAATATAAATGTGTTCATCTATAGGAGCAGTGATTGTGTGGACGCTGTTGTTGGCGTTTAAGTGAAAAATGCAATTTGCTTTGTTGCATGTTTTTCCACTTGCCGTCACATGCATTTATTTTAGCATAAATGTAAATTATTTTTGATACACACACATACAAACATATATAGTAGATGTGTGGTTTGGTGGAGACGCGTATATAATTTACATTGCCCCAAAAATGTTTCATGTTTATTTATCATATTTAAAATGCAATAAAATCGCGCTTCATGTCAGCGATCGAGCAACACATAAATTTTGTTTATGCATTTTGAGTTGTGCGTTTGCGCAAAGCCCTAAGTGTCAAAATAATTCATTATAATTGCCCACAGATCATTTTTGTCAACGTTATTTTTTTCTGCCTTTCCTTCTTCATTCTTCCTCCGTTGTTGCTTTGGCTTCCGCGCGCGCGCGTTTTTTGCAAGCACGGAGCGCGTTTCTTTGGCGTTTTTTGGCAGCTCTACTCAACGACGCGTCGTCCATATCCATATAGTACTTGTATGTATGTAGTCGTCGTCACCATCACTGGGCATTGAGTGAGTGAATAATTGCAGGCATGCCATGTTGTTTATACTAAATTTAATTAATGATGACTTTTATTTATGAACGTGTGGCATAGGGGCACCATAAATACTATGGTCGCTAAAGCTGTGAACTGACTATATAATCGCTGGGTGAGTTGTTCACCCATAGAGCCGACTTAACAATGCCCATAACTGATGGATTTGAAAATAACTCATTCCCATTGCTCACTGTCATCAAAAATCATGGAATAGGCAATCACAGGCTAATAAAGGCACCACACATATATTGTAATTTTTTTTTCGTCATATTCACGATATTCACGGGGGTTTTTGAAGTTTCACGGAATTTTTTATATCTTTCGATTTCAATTCTGGCAACTTTGCCTACATTATATCCAGTGGCTTAAAATTATTTTGTTCGTATTTTCATTGTTTGTTTATATATAATTCTGGATGTTAAAAAACGTTGAAAGAAATATTATAATGTAATAGGTACTTCCAGAATGTATATGTAGACATTTTTCGAGTAACTTATTATTACATCAATAACTTTCGTAAAAGTTCTTCCACCTTACAGGAAATTCACGAAACTTCAGAATTTCACACAGGACTCTTGTACATATCTATAATGTAAACGCTCTTCAAATCGCAAACATATTTATGTTTTGCAATAATCTCAAAAATATGATAATTTTATAATACAGCGAAGATATTATTATATTTTCGTATACGATATCTCCTTTTTTCGTGCTATTCTTTATTTAAGATTTAACCTGGGTTAAGAAATTATTAAATTTTTTTAGAGCTCTTGACTACGATATCATAATTTAACGATACAGATTGCGACGTGGTTTGAACCGAGAGAACCTACTCTGGAACAAACTCAAGACGAGTGGTTTCCTGTTTTCAAATAATAATAGTGTTTTTATATAGAACCCACAGGGCTAAAGGCCAAGTTCATCAGTCTGTCTCAGAATACGGAAGAAGTTTTGTTCTCTTTATATAAACCCTTTATATTTCCTATGTTTCTAAAAGAAGTCATAGTTCTTTTTAGAGATAAATTGAATCCCAATCCTTCTCTGCCTAATACAAAATAAAGGCACAAACGCGATGCAAATTTATGCAATTAAAAATGAAGTTAAACAAAGCCATGTAATATATGTAGAAAAATGATCTGTTTTATTATTTTTAAGGAATTAGTTCGAGATTTAAGAAATTGAGCTTAAAATTGCATTCAAGTACATTCTCGCTTACACTCTAATAAGAAAATTTGTGTTATTCAAAATGTACCAATCCAGCTAGAAATGTATTATCTTTATGTGTATAGTTAATGAAACAATCATCTGCTTGTTTGATTGAGGAGCCAACAATATTTTGCAATTGCTAAAGATTTTTTTGAAAGTTAAAAAAATGTATGCGACATCAAATTACATAATGCACATAGCTACATATTTATTTTATTTCTTAGCTATTTGCTCATAATTGTATACGACTTTTAACAATTTTAATTAGTTTTATGAATGCTTTGAGCGTTCGTTCCACTTACAAAGCTCGCAAACAAAAAATCGGTTTTGCCCATTTATGGCAGGCAACAGAAAATATTTAGCCGAACAAATTTTTAGTTTATTTTTGTTTGTGGGCCATAAAAATGTTAACATCATTATAAAGCTTAACACCTGCACACAGTTGGTGAGCAAAAACGACGACGACGACGACGACAACAACAACAGCGAAAACCACACTTTTTAAAGCATCCATGCAATGTACGCGTTGGTTTCGCATTTATCGCTAATCGAATTGAGTTGGCCAATAACAACAATAACCATAACAACAACAACAACAACGAATACGACAAAAAACTTTGTCGGCAGCTCACTTTGCATTCATGCTGCATTTTCTCACGCTCCTTATTGGATTTGGAACGCAAGTGCACGCGATCCACACACGAAGCGCGCTCGCGCCCGAGGGCAAAAGTTTTGGTTTCTTTTTTTCTCTCTCATTTTTGAATGTGTTTCTTGAATGTTGCCACCGATCTAAGCGGCTTTTTGGCGTTGGCGGCGCATCGCGCAACTTTGTTGCCTTCGCAGGCCAGATGTCGACTTTAGATGATTTATGCGCTACAATAAGCCCCACACACTCACATATACATACATACATACATACGTACAAACGAGGTGCGGGCGGTCGCTCAATTGATTGGCTCGCCGTAAATTTTCGTACATTTTTTATTTAAAAATAATAAAACAATTGATTGTGCATTCATTTGCGAATAGTATAAAAGATATACCTATATGTATATTAAAACTAAAAAACTTTCTATTTATGCATTCACAGCAAGTTTAGTATTTCTTGGAAACATTCAATTCTTCTCAAATTTCTATTAGCAATTAAATCATAATTTTTATTTAATTCATAATATATATATATATAGGGCATATATATATTTTTAATAATAATAATAAAAGTATTTATTTTTTTCAAGAATGATTATTTCCTCGCTTTTTGAAAAAATTTTAATACTTTTTCATTTTCTGTAGGTTTTAAATAATTTGAAATGTTTATCCAAGTTATTCTTTTGTGGAATTAATTAATTGTATTTGAATTATAATTTTATTATTATATATTATATTCTTCCGTTTTCACAAAATTCTTGCTGGACCACGGCTCAACATTTCTTTAATATAACTCTAATAAGTTTTAGAAGTGTATGATTATTATTTTTTAAATCTTTCACATTATTTACAACCCACTCTTATATCTCGTAAAAAGTAAATAGAATTCTGAGTATTCTCACTCACGTTTTCTTCATCAATATAACTTTTAGTTATTTCCATAATGCTTTCTAATTACAAATGTTATATACTATATATCATAATTCAATCTAAATTTAAATACAATATATAGTTATAGCGTCCATCTGTAAAATCTTTAATTATATTATTATAAAAACTACCAACTTCTTATATGACCTTCAATATGACTCTACCTTTTAATCATATGCAGCCCACTTCAAATTATTATTCATTTCTATTCATAATTTCTAGTGCACATACTAGTTCTTTTATTCGAATTATATGATTCCTTTTTATATCATCTTTAAATATTTGATTTTCAACATTTCTATTTAAGTTATTGAAACGTACTCCACATCTTTGTTCAAAAATATCTCATAGGAAACATAAACCTCATGTCTAATTCATTTCGTATTGATACAATGTTAGTAGTTATTTGATAAAAACATCAATAAAATATCCTTATTAAATGGCTGAATATCATTTTAATTACAGCTATTTAGAATATGAATTGGTCTTTGTACCATATCATTTGATTAGCCTTGTTATTTATGAAATGTATATAGTTCTTATATTTTTAAAAAATGTGAAGTTTCAGGCTCTAGAGTAATTAGTAATTAACAGGTTCCCGTATTTTAATGGGAATTGGTGCAGCTGGCCACATAATCATAAATGAATCGCAGCTGATTTTGATAGATTTGCTCCCACCGATGACGATCAAGAGCTAATCGATTACCAATCTGATCGTTTTCGCTCAATGTGTTCTCGCTGTCCGAGTCAGTTCCAGAGCCCTGTGAACTTGGTCCTGTCAAGCGCATACTGCTTTCATTGCCGTCTTCGTCTAAATCATCCTCGTCTTCTTCTTCTTCCTCTTCATATTCATCTTCATATTCCTCCTCGGTGTAAGAGCTTAGGGGTAATGACGAATTGGTAGAGTATTGGGACGTATCAATGCCGGATGAAGCGCTTTCATTACTCTCTACGAAGCCACTCGATGAAGGTGCTGTTGATTCATAATCCAGATCGTCTTCGGGTCGGGTATGGGAGGAACTCGTCTCTGTATCTTCATCGTAAGATTCTTCATTCGCTAAATCCGCAGCAAAAACTATTCCTCCTCCTCCCCCTGCTTCAACTCTATCAGCTATTACGGGTGCAATGTTCACCTGTTCATTCACATGAACACTTAACTTTTGTGCATACCATTCCGCTGGCGAGTTATAATGAATTGGTTCCGAAGATTCCGACAATTGTGCAGCCCGCATCATCGGTTGCAAAGGCTTTGACTTATTATGGTCACGATAATACAAATACTGTGCTGCCTCATATAACTGATCCAGCCAACTATGGGTTTGGGCAATGCTCCATCCGCATTGTTTAATGTAGAGATGTAGACGTTGACGAATGCGGTTGTGATTTTCAAACTTTTCAAGTAGCAACAAATTCCTGCGACCTGCCAGAATCAAGGGTAGTGCAAAGTCTTTCGAGCTTATTTTCGGTGTCTTGAGCTGCTGTAAAATGGAAATTCAATTCATATATATTAGCATTATATTTTTGTTCAATCATTTTTCAGAATGTGAAATTGAAGCACTTTGTTACCAATTCAAAATCGATTTATGGAAATTTATGACAACAATATATATAAGCGCATTGATGACATTATTTGTGGTTGAAAACAATTAAATATTTATTTTATCGAGTTGATACGGCTATATTGATTCTGTTCCAATATTTCATATTAAAGTCTTTTCGTTTTCGAAAAGTTTGACCCTAAGGCTATATTGATTCTGTTCCAACATTTCAGATTAAAGTCTTTTCATTTTCTAAAAGTTTGCTGCTGTCTAAAACAAGTTCTTGGCGGACATATCTTTTTGATTCGTTGTCATATCGATGAAATACATATATATCTATGTATAATGCGGGGTCTGCCACGCCTCCTTCTGCCTGTTACATTTATTTGGACCTAAGTAAGACTTTCTATAAATAGTTTTTACTCATAACTTATTTCTTCTATCAAAAATTTAATCAAATACCAAATTTGATTTGATTTCTATCCTAGATGAAAGTTTGAACTTCAAAGGAGGAAAAAAGGGCTCCAAATTCTATCTGAAAAATCCGCTTTTTACATCCGATTAGCTTGAAACTTAGTGTGCATACTTCTCAGAAAGAATACTGTAAACTGTGTTTGTTTGGCTTTTGTCTTGGGCTTGCATTATTGGGGGAATTTAACATTTATTCGGTTATTTTTAAATAAATATTTTTTGTCATAAATTTTGTCCGCTCGATTTCATCTTGGGATTCATATTCGGCATTTAACAATTTTCAAAATATGGAAATAACACACACACGCACACACACATTCTGAAATATACGCGACTTAGGGATGACCATAGGCGGTGTTTGTAGCCCATCGTGCACACGCGTGTTTGTTAGGTGAAAAGTTTTTGTATTTAATTTCGTTCGATTGATTTTAAATTAATTATACATATTCAACATAAAACTTGGCATTTAATAAATTTCAAAATATGGAAATAATTTTTTCACTTCACACATGCAGCAAAAAAAAAAAACCTCTCTCACACACACATTCTGAAACGTAAGCCAGTTAGAGATAAGCATAGGCGGTGTTAATGTTTGTAGTCCTTCGTGCACACGCGTGTTCGTGTTCTTATTTCGATTTCGACCGTTGTCGTTTTGAAAAAATAACGACCGAAATATATCTTAAAATTAGAAAAAAAAAACTATTAGAATTATTCGAGGTTCTTGAACATACGAACATACATATATATAAGCCATAAGTGCATAATATAAATTGATATTTTGCAAAGCATTATTCCATTTAGCATTATTACTTAATATCTAATATTGTTTATCATATTGAAATATTAGTCCGGAAAAAGTATATAAAAATAAATTATATAAGTATATTGTAAGCAAAAATAAAAAACAAAGACGGGCAAGACATGCTTCAGCTGATAAGGAATGACGTGTTGTAACGATTGAAAATGTTCTACTACAATAAACCCCTATTTGGATTTACTTTTTCATGGATAATTTTAAAAATTTGATGATTTTCGTAAATGTTTAAATTTGTTTCATTGTCATGCATTTCGTGTCTGAGTCAAATGCACAAATAAATCACAATTCCCTCGAATTCTGAATGATTATCTAGGCTCAATTAATGTTCTAAGTAAACTTACTTTAAAACTTTTAACTTACCGTTTGGTTCATTTTAAAATCGCCTTTCTTCTTTAGCGGTTTGAGGTATTGCTATTAAAATAAAATGCATAGAACTAATTACAATTGTTCAAACACACTTCGGAATGCAAATACTTACATTATCTGTTTCGTTGATATTCATCACAGGATTAAATTTCTAAAATATGAATATGGGAACATAAATTATTAATGTTTAATAAACTTTTAAGAGTTTTAACACTTACATTATTCTTTGGGTTGGTTAGATCAACATCTTCATCAATTTCTTCACTCATATCAATATTAATAATATCCTTTTCCTCCTCATCTTGATAACTTGTTTCAATCACCATTTTCTTAAGTCTTATACGACGTTTCTTCAACCGTTTGCTTGTATAACGATGCATTTTTTTGAACTTTTCCTGCGACTTATAGCGTTGCCAAATGACTTTCTCATCGCTTTCGGAGAAATAGCTAACATAAGATCCATCACTGGCATAGCCATTCTCAATGCTGTCCGATATGATACTGCTAGCATCGTCCACCGTATTGGAAATGGCCAGCGGCATCAGCGTGGTTGAACTTTGCTCGGTTGGCACAGCCAGGCAATATGTTTTGTTATCAATCTCACTGGTAGTGGCAGCACTTTCTATATCTTCAGCTGGTTGTATGAGCAGCGGTGGTGGCGGAGGAGTTGGCTCAGCGATTTGGGGAACCAATTCATCATTCTCTCCCTCCTTGGGATTCAGCCCTATTTTAGATATGTCTCTTGTGCGCTTTTGGTTGGATTCGGGTAAATTAGGGTTTGAGCGATTCTCTTTGTTCTCCACAGCGCTCAGTAGTTCGGCTGCATTTTTCTCCAGTTCCTGATATATGGTGTCGATTTCTTGAAGACTTTTCATCAGTCTTGTTTCATTTCTCTTACTTTTTTCGATGGGCACATCAATGCTGGATATGCGATCTATACTATTTATTTCTCTGTGATGGTCTGCTTGAGTGACTTGAGGAGTTGCCTTCTGATTCTCCAATTTACTTTTCTCCAAACTTTCCCTTTCTGTAATTTGCTCAGCACTGGGGCTTATCTCAGAAGATTTATGTTCAATTTCGTGATGAGGTTGACTAGTGTTCACCGATTTCGGTTTATTTAACTTATTAATTTCAGCTTTAAGCTTTTCTTCATCCGAATAACTTTCGAGATGTTGGCTTGGTTCCATCACAATAGTTTTTTTCTTATTATTATTTTCAATGTGCGCATTTATGTCGGAGATTGCATTGCCTTTTGGTTTTTGAGGATGTTCCTGAGCCATCGGCTTAGATGCATTTTTCTGCTCAGGTACATCTGGTTTCATGAAGTATGGAAACTTATAGGAGTCGAAATTCCAAAAGTCGTAACCTTCGATATTTTTCTCCGGAAAATATAAAACAGACATGCCTGTGCCCGCATTAGCTATCATTTCCCTGAACTCCTTGCGCTGTTGGGGTGATGATAAAATGGTGATAGCAATGCCCTGAGCACCAAAACGTCCAGCACGTCCAATTCGATGTAAATATGAGACATAATCCTTGGGTAAGTCGATATTGATAACCAAATTGGCGTGCGATGAGTCCACGCCGCGTGAAAACACATCTGTCGAGACAATTGTGCGCACTGTAAAGTTCCGATAGCCCTGGAAGGTCACCAGACGCTCGTTTTGCGGCAATGCTCCCGACATAAGTTCGCATTGAAGTCCATCGGCACGCAGATAATTGGTGAAGGAATCCGCACGTAGCTGTGAGCTGGCAAAGATGATGCACTGCTGATAGGTTAGCTGCTCAAAGATGCGATGCAGTGCCGCTATTTTTGCCTTCATTTCCAGCATTTTGTTGACCTGTGCCGGCAGCTCCAAAACGAATTGCCGTACTCCTAAAAGCACGGTGGCACGCTCGCTATTGGATATTAGAACGGGTTTTTGCATTAGTTTGGCAAGCTTCTCGTCCAGGGAATTCTCGTAGGTGGCACTGCACGCAATAATCTGACGCTTTGCCGGCAGCAATCGTATAATGCTGGCGACTGTGGACTGCATACCATCCTGCCCGTACAATTGGTCAGCTTCATCGAGCACCAACAACTGGATCTCCGACGTGTCCAGGCAATTTATCTGCATCAGGTGCAGCAACCGACCAGGTGTGCCCACAATGACGCGACCCGTGACCGCACGATGGCGATCCCTGCCCAACTCTGTGCCGCCAAAGAAATGGACCGCCTCGAAGCCTTTTATTTGCTCACCCATGTCATTCAAGGTATCCTTCACCTGAACCGCCAGTTCACGTGTGGGCACAATTACTAGAGCATGGGGTTTACGGGTTTTGTCTTTGAGCGACTGCAAAGCAGCCAACACAAAGATGAGCGTTTTTCCCGTGCCACTCTTCGACTGCACGAGCAGATCTATTGAGGAATGCGTTAAACTATATCTGTTCACTGTATTGCACTTGACACTTACCGATTTCGCTGAGCGCCACGGGTATGGCCGCTGCTTGGATTCTGGTTGGCGTCACAAACTTGTGTTTGTGCAAAGCAATCATAATTTCATCGCGCAATTTTAATGGCTTGAACGACGTCATGGGGCCCGCGGCCACATCGCTGGTGCGCCACTCGCCACTCAAATCATGCCCAATGGCCCTGTGCATTATAAGCAAACTTACGTTTTTCTTCAATTCCAATACAATTTTAAATGCACACTTTTTACAATCAAATTCAATGAGAAAATGAAGCCGGCTTGCCTGCCAACGCGTTTAGTGTGAACGTATGGCACAAATGAAAAAATACTGCGCAGCTATCGGCGCTTGTCAGCTGACAGTCATCGATTAGTCGATATGAGCAGTTTGGTATTTAAAATATCAATACCGCATACATTTGAAACTTTTAAACTAAACACCGGTAACTTTCTAGTTGGTAATATTTGTGAGTAGACATATGCATTAATGTTTATTTTGCAATTTTTTAAATTTCATATCTGCCATGGTAAAATTGCAGATAACAACAATGTACCAACAGTGTACCAATAATTTTCAATTCTGCAGCGAATGCAGCATGCATCAATTATTCGATAAATTGGTTCAAACAGAATTATTAACTTCCTACACTTTTATCGTTGTTTTTTTTTTTAAATAAATTTATTTATTTTAGAAAATTATGTAATTTTTATTGTATTTACTTTAGAACAACAACAAAAATGTTTTTTAAGCGATAGAATTCCACAAATAAAAGTATCGCCACTTGCCGTGGTTCCTTATTTTTTTTAAATTTTAAATTTACAATTAATTTTAGTTTTACAAATGTTTTTAAATATTATTTACAAAAATATTAGAAATTTCCTAATGCAGCCCTAGCTTAACCATTCATTAATTTCTAAATTATTCATTCTTTATAACAACATTTTGGCCTCTAGAAATAAAAATTTCAAATTTGCCTCTTTTATAAAAAGAAATGCCTAAATTTCTGTATTGCCTGCTATTCCTTGCGCTGACTACCCTCCATATTTGCGCCCATCTGCATCCAGTGGTGGAGGCCAATGCAACCATCAAGTCGAATTATCCGGAAGTGGATCGCAGCATGAAGCTGAAAATTGGGTACGAATACCAGAATTCGATGCTCATACAGGCGTTATTCCACTCGGCCTTGGTGCTGGTGGGTGTTTGGCGTTGCCGGCGGCATACAGTGAATACAGAAGAGCAGCTGCTGCAGTTGGTGGCATCCAGGCCGAACATTCTAAAGACGAGCTTCACGGACCTAACGCCAGCGTTGAAACTGAAGCAGCTGGGCGTTTGGTTGTGGTATGAGAAGCGACGCCTTCTTCCGCTCCAGAACTACTTCTCGTGGTTTCATCTGCCCTGGCTAATTACTGCTGCGGTCTGTAACGTCCTTAACTACATGCGTCTGAATCTGGTGATGCAGCATTTTTGCGCCACTCAGCTGGAGGTGTTGGTCCTTTATATTCGTATGCAATTGCTCTTCCTCGGACATGTGGCAGCCGCTGCGCTACAGCCCTATTGGACCCATATGGCGGACGTGGTGCAGGGCTTGTCGACAGCACATGTTAGCTACATTAGCTACGATACGGGCCTGCTGCTTTGAAGCCAGCTCGGGTGTTTCTTTGGACCTTAACGTACACCGTGAAATGATTTGACGAACTCACAAAACACTTGAATGCCTTCTCAGTCCACATAGAACTCTCTCTCTCTACATATTTTTTGGTCAATAAAACTGCATTTGTTATTCCCGAAACTGTGCAAAAAGTTTCATTTAACTTTTGCTCCCCTCCATACAGCTGTTGTTAAACTCGACCATTCCTTGGGCTTGGTTTTTGTTATAATTGTGTTGTTGTTTGTGTTGTTGTTTTTGTTTGTATCAGTTGATTTGTTGCTGCTCTCCTCCGCTGGCAAACAACTTTTTATACCCTCCCCCGTAAGATTAATAAGCCCGGTAGCTTTTAATATAAACGTAGGTAACGCATATGATAATTGCATTCTATACTATAAGTTGCTCTAAATTGTTACTGAAGCTCAGAGAATCAATTGCAATTTCTTACCAAATGATAGTTTTCCGATTCAATGAAGCTCTTGTGGACTTATTTTTAAAGTTTATTAATTATTAAAGCTTAGTTGTCAAATGCAATTTATACATATTTCATATCTTCATAGTTGACTTTGCAGTTATATTATGCTTCTTCACAAGTCTCATATAGAATCTTACTTCAACATATGGCTATAGAATCTTATTCTACTATAGTATTGAGAATGATTTTTTAAATAATTTAATAGAATATATAGTTGGACAAATATTTATGTATACCCTGAGAATTGTTTAATTAATTAATTTATTTTTATTTATTTGTAATTTATTTTTTATCATAACATACATCAATCTTCAACTTCAACCTTGGAGATTATGTTTACCCTGCTGGGACAAGATTTTAAGAACTGCATCGTCTTAGAAATAACAAATATAAATATTGTTTCTATTATATGTTCATATTGAGTCCATTTTGAACAGCAAATTAAAAATAATTAGTTCAGCAAAATTGCATTCTATTAACGTTGAACTAAGTAGAGTATCCAATGGCCGACTTCAATTGATTATTGCCTTCAGGCTCATTTTGTATGATTCTTTGGCCTTACCTCGTGGGAAATATGAAAAGTTTTGTGGCACAACAATTAAGTCAGTCCGTTGCCAGCAAAACCAAATGACAGACACTATTCGTACAGAAATTAACGGGAATTCTACTACCACCGCCTAACACAGTGAACTTTTTGTTTTCAGATAATTTTTTCTGTACTTACAGCCCAGTAGGCTATGCTCAGTTCGTATTCATCACACAATACCAACTAAAATACATAAATAAATTTAAAATCTCAACAATACTGCTTGGCTGACTCGGCTGTAAATTGTAGTAAAACATCAATATAATCGCGGATATTCCGTACTGCCGCATCCGAGGACGTCTCTGATGCATCCCATCAAGAAATCAACGAGATTGGCCAGCTGGTGATTGTATCGCCTGTGTGCGAAGTCGAACACAGCAGCAGTAACACTGAATTGCTCCGAGAATTGCCTTTCAGTGCAATACAGCTGGTGAGTGGCTATTAATATAAGTATACGAATATAGAATCGCTCGCAGACTCAATTAAAGGGTTGCAGGCATTAAAGACCTAGGAATCCCATTGTGAGTTCGTTTCCGAGTGTAGACAACAGTTCAAATCACGCCACAAGTAAAAATAGCTTGAAGAGCAATACTGAAATTTCACTGTTAAAATAAATGCTAATATCCATCATACTACTATATATAAAAAGACGACACAATTGGTGATGGCGATTTCCTTCTAATAAACGTGGACTCCCAAATAATTCTTCGTACTGATAGGTGCTAAGCAATCTATAGTAAAAACAAAATAAGGCCTACTTGATTAAGAGCTAGTTATTGTTGCATATAGAATTGGGTTGGTTTAAAGCGCACTTTCAGAACCAGCTCCCATTTAGTAGCCCTATAAAAAGGCTTCTTCTACACTATAGCAGATATTTAATTGGTGAGCTACTTGCAGAATATTTGGTTGTTTGAAACGCATTTTCAGAAGTGGCTCCCCATTTCGTAGCCCCATATAAAGGCTTCTTCTACGCTAGATATTAAATCAACTAAAGCTGCAAAATTTTAATCTTTATTCGGTGGGCTACTTGCAGAATATTTTGTACTGTTTCGATGGCTCTCTAACTAGAAGTAAGCTTTGATTAAACGGTATTAAAGATAATATACAATCGTGCCCTTATTATCAGGGTAGAGCTTCATTTAATGAATAATATAAGGTTCCTAATAAAATTCGATCGTTTTAAAATGCAATTCAGCACTTTATTTGCTGTGTATTAATTATATGTTCTTAACCAGCTAATATATATACGCATCTTAGCCTGAGTGTGGAAATTCCTCAAATATCTAAATTTTGCAAATAATTTAAAGAATCTTATAATACACCGATGAGAGTGTTTGCTCAAATTCTGATATTCTTTAGTCCCCCTACGATTGTTCGTCTTCCCTGTAGGATTCATTTGCTCGTTGCTCCATTGTAGTTCCATTGATCTATTCTCAGTATCTCAGTCTAGTTGCACCTAAATATGTGTGATCCTTATTGGCATTAAATATTTGTATGCAACTAGAGGAATTAGCTTTATTGATACAGTTTGGAAAATATATGAAAATATGGCTTAAAAGCTAAATGAAGCACCCTTTTTTGATGTCATGTTTATTATTTTCTATTTCTATTTTCAACATGGAAGACCCATTTTGAATTTAATTTAATTTCCCTAAACCAATGGCGTAGGCAGGGGGGGTTATTTTTTAAATGCATCGTGCATTATTTAATCAAAATTTTAGTTTTTTGGGCCCCCCTTTGGTAAAAGCTGCTTACGCCCTTGCCCTAAACTATTGTTGGCCTTCATTTGCTGTTGCCTGCGCATTCTCTAAAGCTAAGCGATTTTTATTTTCATCTCGTTTTTGTTTTTGACGCTCAAATTTGTAATCGCTAACAAATCAACCTATCTATTTCTTTTCAGTCAACACAACGTTCGTTTAGTTATTAATGTCACCTTATTCTACCGACACCTTTCTACAAATCAGACACAGATTTAAACTTTCTGTTCAGTTACCTTTTAAATATATTTTTTACCAACTGATATTATAAGGTACAGACGCAGTCCCCAATTTGCAGTAAAAACAAACGACGGGAACTGCAGTCGCGCTCTAATTCAGATCCAAAAAACACGTTTACAAATTTGCGGCACTTATAAAGCAATACGAAATTATTAGCATACACTAATTATATAGGCGAACAAACAACATGTCCTTGCGCGGACAATTGCTATTGATGAATGGCCACAGGCTGCTCAAGAATCTGCGATGGGATCGTTTTCCTCGCATTGGTAGCGTAAGAAATGCCTGCGCGGATCCTCGTGGAGGGAAAGGCCTAGTATTAGGTCTCTACCAGAAGGAGAATGGCAAAGGACCGCGCCTAACGCCCGCCGGCGAGAAGTTCGACGATCGCGTCCAAGGCAAACTATCAGAGCTGATATGCGAAACGAAAATTACTGGACGCCTGGGACGCGGTAAGGTATTTAATAACTTAGATCCCGATTTTCGTTCCATTTGCGTTGTGGGTGTCGGCCTCGAGGGTATTGCCTTCAACGAGCTGGAGATGCTGGACGAGGGCATGGAGAATGTACGCGTTGCCGCGGGTATTGGGTCTCGTTCATTGCAGAGCTTGGGTTGCATTGAGGTCCATGTCGATCACATGGACTATGCTGAGCAGGCGGCCGAGGGCGCCGCACTGGGCGTCTGGCGCTACGAGGAGAACGTGAAGAAGGAAAATCGGCATGTGATGCCGAAACTGGAGCTGTACGGCTCACCCGATGCAGATGCCTGGACACGTGGCCTATTCAAGGCGGAGGCACAGAACCTGGCGCGTAGAATTTGCGAGGCGCCGGCCAATTGCATGACACCAACAATATTTGCTCAAGCCACTGTCGATGCCTTGTGTCCGTGCGGCATCACTGTCGAGGTGCGCACCATGGAATGGATTGAGTTGCAGCATCTGAACTCCTTCCTGATGGTCGCCAAGGGCTCGTGTGAGCCACCCGTGCTATTGGAGATTGCGTATTGCGGCACCGCACCCGAGGATAAGCCCATTTTGCTAATGGGCCAGGGCATCACCTTCAATTCGGGCGGCATCAATCTGCGCGAATGCAAGGGCATGGACGAGTTCCGTGGAGATTTGAGTGGAGCAGCTGCGATTATGGCCTCGATGCGTGCGGCCGCTGCCCTGTCCTTACCCATCAATATTACGGCGGTGCTACCGCTGTGCGAGAACCTGCCATCGGGCATGTCCTGCAAGCCGGGCGATGTCGTCACTCTGCTCAACAACAAGTCGCTGGCAGTACGCAACATTAGTCGCACAGGGGTTGTAGCTCTAGCCGATCCAATGCTTTATGGACAAGTTACTTATAAGCCGCGGCTGGTGGTCGATGTTGGCTCCATGTGTGCGGGTGTCAAGAAGGCTGTCGGCGGCGGAGCCACCGGCATCTGGTCTAACTCCCATTACATTTGGAAGCAATTCCAGCGCGCTGGCTCTCTCACCGGCGATCGTGTTTGGCGTTTCCCGCTCTGGCGTTTCTACAGGGATCGCGTAGCCAACAATCTCAGCTTTGATCTGGCTAACGATGGTGATGGCTTGGCATCCTCTTGCTTGGCTGCCGCTGTGCTCCACGAACTCATTCCATGCAGCGATTGGGCCCATTTGGATACTTTTGGAACCGGCCTACTCAGCAAATTCGGCCTAATTCCATATTTAAGCGCTAATCACATGACGGGTCGTCCAACACGTACAATCATCCAATTCCTATACCAGATGGCTTGCCCTGAACAACCCAAGTAATCATTATTCCATTCACGAGAGCCTCCATTTGTTGTATACACTAATACACTATTTGACTCAACTGGACTTGGGCTTAGAAGAGATGTTAATTTAGCCCCAAAGGAGGGAAAAATGAGTTTTTAAAAATTTTACTTAATAGACAATTTTACGACCTGATCAAATTTTTACTGATAGGACACAGACACAGACACAGAAATCAGATTAAGGTAATGCTTTTGGTTCCACGAACACTTGAACAGAAACTAAAATTGTTATGGTTTTATGATTGGTTAGCCAAATTTCAATATAGGTATATTGTAAGTGCGTTTC